TGCGTCTCCTTCCCCGTGCCCGCGCAGGTGTGCGTGTGTGTGCGTGTGTGTGCGCGTCTCCTTCCCCGTGCCCACGCAGGTGTGCGTGTGTGTGCGTCTCCTTCCCCGTGCCCGCGCAGGTGTGCGTGTGCGTCGTCTCCTTCCCCGTGCCCGCGCAGGTGTGCATGTGCGTCGTCTCCTTCCCCACCTGCTCTGCGGCCTTTGGCGTCTCGTAGCTGTTTTAAGTATCTGGTGCCTGTCGCCGCGCATTCCCTGTTGGCGGGCCAGGAGCTGCGCTTATCCTCCCCGTCCTGCCCGGTGAGTCAGGCACCTTGTGACCTCACACAGTCACGGTTGCCTGCGTTGGGACATGGTCGAGTCTGTGGCTCGTTTTCCTTTCCTGTTTCTCAGTTTTGCTTCTGTGATCCCTTGCCTTAGTCCTGGAATACGTCCTGTGTGTCCTCCTCTGGGGAAGTCGTTGCTGGGGAACGGTCCCCCCTCCCCCGCCTCACTGTTGCCCCAGACGCACGCATTGTACCACCTTCCTGTGGCCAGCCTGTGGAGGCCGGGACTGTGTGCATGCACTCTGGAAGGTCTGTGGGCTCCTGCATCTGAGGTGGGTGCTTTTCATCACTTCTGGAAGTTTCTCAACCATTGTGTCCGTCCTTGATTGTTGCCTTCCTGTCCTTTCTGTTCTTTCTCCCTAATTTTGATAGAAACCCTTCCCTCCCCTGTTCTGCCTTGGCCATCAGCTGCCGGCTCCCATTTTCTCTTTGTCCTTTGTTCTTTCTGGCTTGTTCCTTTGATTTCTCTTCCAGAGCACCGAGTCTCTCTTCAGCCACAGCTGAATAGCTGTTTTACTTACTTAAGCTTTTAAATTGTACTTTTACCTTGTTGGGCTTCATTTAGTCTGCTTTTTTTTTGTTGTTTTGTTTTAAATTTGCTTGTTTCTTTGATGTATTATTTCTCGCTGATAATTTAAATCCCTTTCTTCACTGTTTTTTACTTTTTTATAAATTTTATTTATTTGACAGAGAGACACAGCGAGAGAGGGCACACAAGCAGAGGGAGTGGGAGAGGGAGAAGTAGGCTTCCCCCCAAGGAGGGAGCCCAACGTGGGGCTCGATCCCAGGACCCTGGGATCATGACCTGAGCTGAAGGCAGCCACTTAACGACTGAGCCACCCAGGCTCCCCCCTTTCTTCACTGTTTTAAACACAGCATGCGTACTTTCTATTCCACTTCTGATTATTCTATTACCTGATACCATGGGTTTCATTCTCCTAATTCTTGTGTTTGCAGGTCTGTTTTCATTTGTATTCTGTGATCGATTGATTGATTGATTGATTTTTACTATGACCTTAGATCTTTGGTCTTTACTATGACCTTAGATCTTTGGTCCTCAGAAGTTTCTCTCTGGAACTTGTTTGACTCCTAGAGCGAGGTTCTGCTGTTCTCGCCGGGATCTCTGCTTGTTCCTGCCAGATGCCTGTGTGCACCTGCAGTCTTGGGCTGCTGTGTAGTCAGTCAGCCCAAATTCAGTGCTGGTGTGTGTATGAACGTGTACCACTGTCTGTTTTGTTCTAAAGATTGCGCACTGCGCATACTGACTTTTTTGGTCCGGATTCTCTGCTCTGATCTTCCACCCTGTTCAGGCACTGTGTTTTTTGCTTCTCCCCTGCATGAGGGGCTGACTCCATTCCACCCCAGGGAGGGTCCTGCTCCAGGCTCCAGGGCTGGCCGCCCCCTCTGGACTCATGAGGAGCCCAGGGGGTTTGTTTGGGGTCCGTTTACATGAGGGGGGCACGTGAGGGACCCCATTTGTTAGGACCACATGCCGGGGTACTTTTGTGTGGGGGAGTAGGGCGGCCCTGTTCTTTGGGAACTCGGGGGTGTGCAGCTCATCTGGGCACCAGTCAGGGTGATCTTTCCAGGTGTGAGAGGGGACGTCACCTTTGGCCTCTGTCCCTGCCATGGCTCGGCCGCACCTGAGGAGACAGAATCTCTGACCCTGTGAGCCAGGCTTTGTCGTGCCTGCAGCTGCTGCCTGGTTTGCTTACCCCACCAGCACACAGCCTTTGCAGGGCTGTTGCACGAGCCCACCCGTGCCCCGAGTCCAGCCTTGTCCCTGCTGGGGCTCCCAGCACCTGCCGGCCCCCTGAACCGGGCCAGTGCCCATCCTCCCTGTGGGGCTTAGGACGAACAACTAGGCACCTCCATGCCTCAGCTTCCTTCCTGGGAGAGCACGGCCTGGACTGGATGGTCATTCCTTCCCAGCTTCAGAAGGAAGCATGGGTTTGTCCAGAACCCCTCATCTCTGCCATCCCCGGGCTCTGGGCCGTTATGGGGCATATTTCAGAGCTTCCAGAAGACCCGTCCTGTCCCTGGTAGTGACCTGCCTGCAGAGCTCAGTGCCGGTCAGGGAGGTGGGCAGGGTCATGAGCTGTCTGTCACGTGTTTGTCTGCCATCGGCCGGGAGGCTCCGTCTACAGGGCGGAGGAGTACTCCCAGTAGTCGGGCTCCTCGAGGCCCGGGGCAGGAGGGCCGGTGAAGGTCATCCCAGACAGGAGGTTGTCGGGGCCCACGCTGGTTCACAGAACAGCTGGGGCTGGCGCGGGTGGAGCGGGCCTCGGACACCGCTGTGGCTCTGTGGCTCCCTGGGTGGCGGCCCACAGCCCCCGCTTCACGTCTGTGTGGATGAACCTGCCTGTACCGCTCCGTGCCGAGGAGAGCGGCTTGGCGGGAAGCAGCCTCCTGCTTTGTACTCGGGGCGCATCTCTGAGGCTTCTGTGGCCTGCACTGGACGCCTGCTTGCTCAGGGATTAATCGCCGGCATTTGCTCAAGTGGAAATGAAGCAAACTTCCCCACAAGTGGAATCACTCATTAAAAAGTCATTATCAAATCAAACCGGCATATTTCTTGGACTTTTACTAGTGATGACAGAACAATTTCTTGAACAGGTACGAACAGCAAACTTGCTGGTTCACGCGCTCCTCGTCAGCCTCGGCTCTCCTGGGGACGTGATGGAAGAGCCCTGCGCGGAAAGGCCACGCTCTGGGGACAGATGGGTCAGTGGAGGCGACAGTTGCAGCTTGTTCTGGAAGGGAAGCCCCTTACCCCGCACCTTGGGGCAGCGGTGCTGTGCAGAGTAGCTCCAGCTGTAAAAGTCAATACCAAGATAGAGGATTCCAATAAAATGAGGACACTCGATAAACCTTCCTGTGGAAACAGATTTCCCACAGACGTGCAACCAGTTCAAGTGGATTTGTAACTTTAATTTCTCACTTATTGAATTTCTTGTCATCGGCTAATTGTGGAGTCCACACCGAGTGATGACCGGGCTGTGAGCTCTGAGCTCGGCCTCCCCACCTGAGAATGTGACGTGGGGGGCTGTTTTGGGTCCGTGAATGTGCCTTTGAGCCCGTGGTGGTATGGGCTGTCCCTGTCGCGTGTCTGGACGCCCAGCCCTGGAGGGTCAGGGGCCGTGAGGGAGGGAAGGCAGTGCCAGGGCTGGCGCATGATGCGCCCGTGAACCCGAGGAGGTCTGTTTGCCGACATGGATGAGATCATGGGGCCTCACTTACGGGGCAGCGTGCAGACACAGCATCTGTGACAGTGTCAATCCTCACATCCATCCTTTGAGACCGGCAGATTACCCCACTAATCCAGGAACTGAGGATGGGGGTGAGTGCTCTGGCCTCAGGTGCCCAGCTAGCCCAGGGCGCAGGTGGGACAAACCTGCCCCAGGCAGAGGCCGTGGAGCTCTGTGTCCCACACTCTAGCTGCATCAACCTCTTTGGGCGCCTGTTTGTGAACCAGCCTCTCAGGCCCCACCAGACCTGCTGAGACTGAGCTGACATTGCACAAGCCCCCCAGGATGTTTGTGTGCATGAGGGAATGAGAAAGCATGCTCAGAGCGCCTGGGTGCCCTGCACAATGACTTGATTTTCTCCATATGGCCTTCCCTGGTGACAGCACGTGGGCAAAATGTGGGGCAGGAGGGCAGGTGCCAGCCCCCAGCTCAGGCTGTGGGTCTGTTGAGGCTGAGGAAGAATCCAGGCCCACAGGGAGTGAGAAAGGGCGGTGGGCAGCCCCCAGGGGAGACAGCAACTCCTTTCCTGGCACGGGTGGCCTTTGTGCAGGCCCTCTAGAGCCGCTCGGTTGCTGGACCCAGGGACCTTGGGTCCCTGCAGCCTTTCCTGGTTGGCCTCCAGAAGGTCATCTCCCTCCACGAACATCTAAAGAAGGGATCTTCCAGTCCCTGGGCAGGAGAAGCCGTCCACCTCTCCCGGGGCCCCTGACTCTGGCTCACGCTCAGCCTTATTATGTGTTTCTAGCAGGGCACCCCTGAGCAGTGACTTCTCTGTGGCTTAGTCCGGACGCTGTGTGATTGGTACATCCTCCCACGAAACCTGGGTGTGCCTTTGCATGGCTGGTGCACAGTGATGCATCTGTAGCCTGGGATTGTGGCCCCAGGCATCCCATGAGCTCTGTGGGGAGACGGAGCTCGCCGAGGCCAGAGCTGTTCAGCAAGGAGTCTGGGGCATTTCAGAGTCTGGGTGGATGGAAGGCTCGCTTCGGTTCTTCCACCCAGACACCTGCTGTTTGGATGAATCTCTCCAGACTGCTGTGTGGCTTAGAGGCCAGGTCAGAAGTCGCGGAAGGCAGGGTATTCAAACCTCCTTCTTGGCCTGGCCCTGTCGGTGTGTTCCTGGGACCATTCCTGGAGTTTGGTAGAGCCTGGGACTGGCCGGAATGGAGGAGTCAGCAGGCTCCAGGGAGGGGTCTCTGGCCACCGCAGGTCTCCACAGACCCTGCAGCTCAAGGCCAGGCGGTTGTGGGGAGTGCCTGTATGAAGGCAAGACCCTGGTCGTGCTCAGGCTGCTGGTTCAGAGCAGCTTGGGACCCTGCCGTGGGCTGGCTGGGCTCTGTCGGGCCATTGTGAATCCAAACGTTACTGAGCTCTTTGAGGAGCCCCAGGAGGCCACCCCAGCCTGACCACCTGCCCTCTGTGCCCACAGGAGCGGGACGGAATGCGCGCCATCCTGGGTTCCTACGACAGCGAGCTTACTGCGGCCGAGTACTCGCCCCAGCTGACGCGTCGCATGCGTGAGGCCGAGGACATGGTCCAGAAGGTGCACGCGCACAGCTCAGAGATGGAGGTGAGTGTGCGGGCGGGCACAGGGCCAGCCATCCGCTTGTCTTCCGTGTGCTGGCTCCACGCTCTGACCTGGTGGCCTGGGAGAGGAGGACCCGCTGAGGGGCTGTTGCTGGTTCTGTCGTCCAAGGCAGACTTTCAGTCTGATTGGGAAGGTTAGCTCCGGCCTCACCGAGCGCGTCATCATAAATGTAAGTGCATTAATAGCCATTTTATTATGATACATTGGGCTCCACATGAAACATTAATGAAGAGAGATTTGCGGGGCAGCTTCCCTGACACCCTCAGTCGTCCCTGGGATTTTTTACATTGAGCGATTCCTCCTCTGTGTGCACCCTGTGTGCCCTCATCAGTTAATGACAAGGCTGACAGACCTAGCACCCCTGGTGCCATCTGTTTGGGTTTTGTACGTCGGGGTGATGAGGGGCGGGGTCACCACGTCTTACTTCACTGGGCCTGCACATCTGGCCCCCAGCACGGGCTCACCCCTCCCCCGACAGCTTTTAGGCAACACGAACTGCAGAGGCTTTGGGCGGACACATGGGCACCAGCTTTGTCTCAGCTCTCTGCCACGGACTCCCAGTCGCCTCCTGTCTTCCTCTCCTGGAGTCCTGCCTGCTTGTTCGGGACCGGCCCAGTTCCAGCAGAGAAAGTCCCTAACCCCCTGCACCCCCTTTCTGTGCTCAGCAGTGTAGTGGGGCATCAGCCCGCCTTCCCGTCCACCACCCTGGAGTCTTGGGCGAGTCCAAACGGTGGAGGATGCCCAGGCTCAGCCAGCATCACCAACACGACCATCTGTTCCTCTCTGTCCTGGTCACTGTCCTTTTCCTCCTGGATGTGGGCACGGATGGGCCCCTCCAGAAGCAGGCCAGCCCCTTGCTAGTCTCCTGCCCTACTCCCAGGCCAGACTGACCCAGATCTGTACTGGGAGAGAGACTCCTCAGTGCATAGCCCCTGCTCCCTGGGACACCCTGTCTTTGAGGCTGAGTGCTAACCTTGAGACACAGCCTCAGAGCCCTGGACACTGGCTCTGCTCGCCATCCTGATTGCTGCAGCAGAGGTCCTGGTCCTCCCTGCAAAGTATCCTGGCCGTCTGGTCCTTCTGCGTGTGCCCTCCACACCTTGTCACACACAATGGGCTCTGTTAGCCTCCACAAGAGCCCACCCAGGCCCAAGCTGCTGCCTGCAAGGGAGGAGCAAGCATGGGGAGACTGGAAGCCAGGCGTTCCTGGGTCAGGCCCACCGGTCACTGTCCCCTGGCCTTTCTGGAACATCAGCAAGCCGATGAAATGAAGCTTACTGAAGCAGGTGTTAGCGATCAGCAGCCCCCACCCCCAGCCTTTGGTGGGTAGAGGCAGTGGTTGGGTCAGTGCACCCTGGGGGTGGTCAGACCTGGACCCCGTCCAGTCCTGCTCAGAGACCTGCGTCCACCCCTGTCAAGAGCTGTGCGCCTCCCGGCCCCCACCAGGTGGCAGCAGACTAAGCCACGGGTCCTGCTCCTGTGTCCAGGCCTTGGGTGGGGACAGGAGGGGTCTCCTTAGCCTCTGTTCTTTCTCTCGTTGCTGAGACCCCCTCTGGCCTCCCTGCAGCCCTCTCTTGGAATCTGTGCGGGAGGAGGTTGTCCTCCCCGGGAGGCAGAGAGGTGGCCATCTGGCACATGTCATGGGGGTGGTGCAGGGTGCGGTGAAGACGAGGGGTCCTGGGTGGGGCAGCAAGGCGGGGCCTGCCACGTGCGAGGTCCACAGAGCGCCTTCTACCAGGGGACCGCGTGCCTGCCACGCTCAGTTCCGTGCTAGCTGCTGCTAGAGCCGAGGCACCTCCGCTCTCAGGGTTGTCCGTGGGATTAGGACGCGGCGTGCAGGGTGAGGGGACCTGTGGGGAGCCCTGCCTCGTCCGCTTCTGGGGACGTCCATCCTTGCGGAGAGGCCGCATCGCTGCTGCTGTCCCGTGCCGTCTGATCTAGTCTGGCTGGTTCTCCGGCAGCCTGAGCAGAGGCAGCCCTAACTCGATGAGGTCACAGAAGTGCTCCGGGAAGCACGTACATAGCAGATGGCCTCCTCCTGGAATGTGTGGAGGGTGACAGCGGTTTAGACGGAAGGATGGTGTAGAGGTAGAAAAGGTGGGCATGCACGAAGTACTCCCCTTGCTCCCCTGTGGTACAGCCACAGTCCCGTCAGGGGTGCAGAGAGGCTCCCTCCGTGTGCCCCGCGAGGTCATCAGGCTGCCTCACGGGTGGCCATTCTCACGTGGGCCCTGGGGTGGCTCCATCAGCATCTTGGAGAGTGTGCAGCCCTTAAAGGGAAGGGCCCACTTTCTGTCAAGACCTTGTCTTGCCCGCATCACGTAGGCCCTCCTGCAGCACCGGGACCACCCGTTCCCCTGTGGGAGGCCGCTGCCTGCAGGCGCCCCGGGAGCCGCTTGCCACCCAGGAGGAGGTCCGAGTCAGGGAGAAGGGGGCCCCGGCTTTAGGAAGTAAGCCTGTCGCAGTGAGAAGGAAGGGATTCAGAGGGGGTCACAGGTGGGTCTCGGGTTCAGGAAAGAGTTGGGGCGAGCTCGCAGATGAGGTGGACGTGAAGGTGGCCGTGTCCGCTGTGCCCGGAGCAGCAACACCAAGATCAGCGCCCCCCAGTGACACCAGTGGTGAGAGGTGCGGGGCTGTGTGGCAGTAGGCGCTGGACAGCTCTGCCCCTCCCGCGGTCGCCTTCTGCTATGGGCCTCAGTGTCCCGGCCCCCCGCCCCGGCCACTGTGCTGACGCTCTCTGCAGAACAGAGGGAGGAGAGCACCCGGAGGCATTGCAGCATGCTTGGTTCAGGTGAGGGGGGCGGCGGGGGTGCACAGGGGCTCAGGCTGGAGACACAGTCCTCCCCCTACCTCCCCTCCCCCGCCACAAGTCAGCAAACAGGGGTTTTGATGCACAGGTTCCCCGGGAGCCGGTGGGGCCAGGAGAGAAGGAATGCAGTGGCATCCTGCTGGGCCCAAGTGGTGGCTGTGGGCTGTGAGTTGGGGTCTCTCAGGTCCGGGAGCCTCATGGACACCAAAACCCAGACATGGGCCTGGCGGAGCTGAGAATCCTCCAGACGCAGGTGTCCCTGTCGGTGACAGAGGGTGGGCAGGCATGTGAGGGCGTGGGTGGCTTTGCTCTGTTCACACAGGCTCACGGAGCCCCTGGTTTTGTGGCAGCCTGGGGGACCCAGCCCTACTTTCCGTCCTCCCATCTCCAGCCTGCCCTTTCTGGGGGATGGGCCTCTAGGGGTCCAGACCATCTAGTTCAGGGCAGCTCTGAAGCCGGGGTCTCTGAAGCCCGCCTTACCCCGTCTCTCAGCTGTGGGGCTGCACTCCAGCCAGGAGCCCCGAGCCCCTCCGTGCTGAGGCCCTGAGGTCCTTGGGCCCTGGGTCCTCGTCAACGGCTGCTCAGGCCTGCCAGGCCAGGCGCTGTGGCCTCGGCTCTGCTGGCCTGCTTCCTGACCCACGGTGGGCAGGCAGCCCTAGGAGAGACCTGTGGCTCAGTGAGCGGACCCGTTCGTCCAGCTTGGGCAGGAGCAGCTTGCTGGTCCAGGCAGCAGGTGCAGGCACCCCAGCTTGGACCCTCCAGGTCACAGCGGCTCCCCCGCAGGCCACGGGGCACTGCTCTCTAGGGCTCGGGGCAGGGTTCCCTCTTCTTGCTTGTTAAATAGTAACGTTCTATGTATTAGGAACTCGGAGAGCTTTAAACGCTGCTCCGAAGGGCCTGCCAGAAGTTTATTCATTGAGCATCACATACTGACCCACAGTACAAAGTTATGTCAGTTTGTAGAACCTGGTTATTAAGGTTCCTTAGTGTCTCCCAGACAAGACCTTTGTCACTGCACGGATGCACCCACTGCTCGGGGGGCGCACGCGGGCCCTGGACGAGCAGCTGTGCTCCGCTCCCTGGTGAGCCCCCAGAGTTGCCTGTTTGGTTCAACTGCCTTAAGGAGCCGTGGGGAGCCATGAAGTGCATGCAGGGAGAACACCCCCACAGCCCTCGGGGTCTGATTACAGAAGCGGATTAACTCTCCACAGCTCCCCCGCCTGCCTGATGGATTGCCTGTCTAGAAGGCAGGGTCCAGGGGGACAGAGGGAGAGAACATTACCATGCTGGAACTCAGGATATGCCTAACAGGTGTGGGGTGTGCGCGTCTCTCTGCCTCCCCCCTACCCCCCCAGTCCGGTGCTGCTTCCTTTCGTTTCCTTCCTTGTTTTGTGTTCTGCCTTCATGGCTGCTCTGTATGTCTTCTCCCTCCCTCCTCCCCCTCTGCCATGGCTTCCCTCCCCCCCCAACTCTGTCCCTCACCACGAACCCCTGTGTCTTCTCACTTGGGTTGGCAGGTGGGCCATGCCCATAAAGGGCCAGACAGTACATTCTGTGGGCTGTGCGGCCACATGCTCAGCTCTGTGCTTGTGGCCGCTGGAAAGCAGCTTTGGGCCATCTGTGAATGGTGGGCATTGCCGTGTGCCAGTAAAACTTTATTGACAAAACAGGTGGGGGGCCTGGATTTGGGTGCCGGCTGTAGTTACCGGACGCCTATTCTAGCCCCACTCTTCCTGGGACCCCCAGCATGCTGATGCTTGTGTGAAGGCACCGCGACGATGGGGGACCCCTGAACCAGGTTGGCAGGTGCCCTCAGGCAGGTGCAGGGAGGGAGCTGCTCCGGGGGACCTGTCTGTTCACTAATGGGGAGCAGGGGGCAGGAGGGAGCTCCTTCTGAGCTGCTGCATTTCGCTCCTTCAGCTTAATCAGGTAGTTCTCATGTGGAGCACGTTTCGAGTCCGGCAGACACGTTTCACTGAAACAAATTGGAAGTGTTGAGATTGGGAGAATCCCAGTAGCCTGTCTCTGGTGAGGTTTGTGCCGTTTTGCATGGATTTTATTTATTCCACTTAATAAAGCGGCTGCAGAAGTTGGTAGCATATGTCACGAACCTTCCTCTGTCGACAGAGCTATAAATATGCAGCTCATACCACCTCGATTCCACCTGTCAGCC